ATATGGGCGCTCCATGACAATGATCCACCTCACGGAGCAGAGATGGTCTACCATGAAGAGAACAGAGGGTCTCAGAGCATACATTTACTGGGACCCCCTCCGGTGATGAGAATGCCCGTTGGCCATTCCAGTCAATGGAACGTCTTGTTTGAAAACGTAAGTAAACATTTATTTGAACGTCATATTTTTGTTTCAAAGGTAATGTTGACAGATTTGGAATATTTCGAGGCCTAGTATTTTATATAAACTTAATTTTATCCATCACATCCATATATTTTCCATCACATTTCCAATTTGTTAACATTTTTCATTATGAATGTTATGATTTCCAACTCGTAGATACAAATACAATTAGGATTTTCATTAGTTTTTTGGTAAGAGAACTTGGTACAATAAATAGAATATATTCTTTGGCTTTACAAATAGATCAACAAAAATTCTTCAGAACACATGATATTTCAATTGTTTAGTAAACTAAACTAAACCTCGACAGGTGTTTCAATCACCAAGTGATCATCTTCAAGAGGAAAATTAAACTTGAAGATCACTTGGTGATTGGAACTTGTGTCGAGGTGTTAAAAAAACGTTTGGTGATGGGATGGAACTCCAGTAATATTCAAAATTTTGAAAAAAGAATCACTTAGTCTCACATAACTCTTTTGAGTTTTCATTCAAAGATTTTCGATTCCACAGCTAAATGTTCCCAACGAGATGACCACCATGTACTGGTGCAAGATATTCAAAGCTCCGACGCTGAACAACAAGCATCACATTGTCGGCTTCGAGCCACTCATCGGTCGAAACCACTCCGGTATGGTGCACCACATGATCATGCACGAATGCGATCTGGACGACTCCGACGACGTAGCGGTTTGGGACGCTTTCTCCAAAGAGGGAGGGAGACTGTGCTACGCCAACATGCCTCCCTTGTGGGACAAGTGTCTGACGCCGCTGGTCGCTTGGGCGGTAGGATCTAAAGGTAAGGAACCTTCGGAGCTCAACCAAGCCAAACATTTAATTTTTTATTAAATCCATCACTTACTTATATCACTTAATATCTTATTATTCTTCAAGGTGAAAATTTTCCAAATCACATCGGTCTTCCTCTGGCGGATAAGAAGAATTCTTTTTATATGCTCGAAGTACATTTCGACAATCCTACTATGAGAAGCGCCTCTGATACATCTGGCCTGCGACTGCACTACACCAGCGAGCTTCGACAGCACGAGGGCGGGATCCTTATTACGGGAGTGGCTCCATCGACGCTGCACTTCGTTCCTCCCCATCAGCCTGAATACAAAACCGCTGGCTACTGCAGTGTGGACTGCACCAAAGAGGTGAGACAAATTTCAAAGTTCGATTTGATGCTGTAAATATTATGATAATCGTAAAAGCTAGTTTTCAAAATTATCAAAGTTCATTAAACAAAATCCTTTATCCATTCTATTGAACATATCACAGGCTTAGGTGAGAACACGATACTCTTGTCTCTCATGTAAACCTACGACTTTGTAGCTACGTGTGGCAGATACCCGACGGAAAAACAACAACTGACCCAGCTAATGCCTTGCAGAAAGCTGAAGTGAAACTATCAGGGACCTGTGCAACGTTTCCATTTGGAAAATTCGTCGCAAGTAACTTCCCTTTTATAAAAAGCAAAAATTAATTTCATTTCGTCGGGACGACCATCGATGGACCGGTTTCGGAATACTTGCTCATTGTCAGTACCGGGAGGGTCATTTTAGACGGAGTGAACCGTCTGTGTATCCCACGATATTCAAACGGTTTCCAGGCTGTTCCTCTTTTGAGCCTTTTTTGAGCCTTTTTTGAATGCTATCTATACAGTCTGTCCAAGATAAAGAGGACCAGCGTCTAAAAATCGGAAACCGTGATAGAGTCGGTTAAATTGGAACAAAAATGGTCATTTTAGGTATTTTACTTGAAAAACTGCGACTACTTTCGGAAATATTCAACGTTGTTTAAAGATATATTGAAAACAGAAACCTCTTTCCTATTGCCATTTCTCGGGCTGTACAAAATGGCTTGTACAGGTTTTAAATCCGACGTTTTGTATTTGGACTTTTTTGACGACAATTACACTAATATGTATCAAAGATAATCTGATTTTCTTAAGTGTCAAAACAACTCTAAAATGTGCAACTTTTTCCTATTGTAACCGAATATGACTGAAGTTTTTTCCCAACACCAAACCGTTATTTTAACACCTCGACACTTGTTTCGATCACCAAGTGATCATCTTCAAGAGGAAGATCAGTTTGAAGATGATCACTTGGTGATCAAAACACGTGTCAAGGTGTTAAATAAGTGTTTGATGTTGGGAAAAAACTCCATTGATATTCATTACTACTGCAAAATATTTTTCTTCCTTTTGTTTGTTATAAATAATCCCTTATGTTTGTTTGAAGGTGATTGACAATGTTCCATGATGAATTTCACTAGTTCGGATTTCCATTGTCTACTATATAAAATGATTTGAAATCCCTGAAACAACTAAAAAAGAAGAATTAAAAATGAATAGCTGAAAATAACAATTATATTAAGCAAGGGATTTCAAATCATTTCATATAGTAGACAATGGAAGTCCTAACTAGTGAAATCAATCCCTTTTGTCTTGTTCATCGCGACTGTTATTGCAGAATATTTTTGGTAGGTATTATTGAGCTTTTACCAAGAATTTTTAAATCAGTTTAGATGCCTTGCTCTTCAGGAAGAATACCTAATTTTTTTTACTATGAAGACATCTCGGATGTTGAGTTGTTGCTTTTTTTATAATCATTTCCGATCAAATCCTACTTTTGTATCTGTCTTGACATGAAACAAGTTTTCATGTCGTCTGATGTTCTTTCATTCTAACCGAAAAACTGTTGTTTCCTAGCTTTTTTAAAAGATATTAGTAAACTGACCTGGATATTGGCGTTTGTTTTTTTTTTTTTTTTCGATTGTTGCTGTCTTAAAGTCTACTAGCTTCTTATTTATTCCTTTCCTTATCATTTTGTATTCCCATTCCACTATAACCATCATTTTCAATGGACACACTAAATTTAGTGTTTCATCACTTGTACTATTTTGTTAGCAACACTCTAAAATGTCTCATTGTTATTGAAAACTATTAAATTGACCAATCAATATATTTTCAGGTGATTCCAAAAGATGGCATCAATGTAGTATCCGTCATGTTGCATTCTCATTCAGCTGCTAGAAAATTGAAGCTGCGTCACATCAGGGCTATGAAAGAATTGTCGCCTTTAGCTGAGGTAATTGTTTTCGTTTTGAAATTGAACCTCAGTGACTACTTCAAACTATGATTTAACTTGGATGCAGTTGTTACGCAAAATAAAAAAACAAAATTTTTTCAGGACAATCATTACGATTTCAACTACCAACAGTCCCGCCGCTTATCTCAGGATACCCTAATTCTTCCCGGCGATGGTCTGATCACGGAGTGCACCTACTCCACTCTGGGAAGGGACAAACCTACCCTAGGCGGATATTCCACCAAAGATGAGATGTGTCTTGCTTTTGTATTGCACTATCCCAGGACACAGCTCTCGGGATGTTATTCCATCCCTCCTGTTAAATATTTCTTCGAAACACTCGGCATAAGGGAGTTTTATGGAAAGGATATGGTCAATATCGAGAAGGATTTGCTTGAGGGAAAGTAAGTATATACTTTTATTGAAACTTGACGAGAAATAGTAAGGTTTTGAGAATGATCCTCTGAAATACTTATTATATTACAACTTTCAAAGCTGTTGCTTTTTGGAATGAATAAATTTAATGAAATTAACTTCCTGTAATTATAGTTTTGTTCTCCTAATTTTTTAAGTTCCTATGTATAGTACCGTAAGATATATTAACAAAATAGAATGATGGCAAAAGTAAAATAATTTATTGGTATAAGGTTTCTCAAAGCAAAACTAATTCAAACCAAAATGTTGGCGACCGTGATAACATCCATGTATAGAGTTACTTCATTCAGAATCGATTACTTCCTTCCTTTCCTTGGAAGATTCCCTCATCCTTGTTTTTTGTATCAAGATGGAGTAGTAGAAAGCCAAAAAATTTCTTTCCCAAAAACTCTAAAAATATTTCATGAGGACATCTACAGAAAAAAGTTCTTAGCTGAAGGATCACTAAAGACGTTTTATTCCTTTTCAGACTATTAGAAAACAATGATGACCTTTTTTTTCTGCAGACAAAAATATCTAACTACTAATCGATGCAGAGAATAAATGATATCAGTACTTATTATAAGCAACAGAAGTTGATTCACCAGCTAGAGAACTAGTTGAAAGAGGACCTGATCAGTACAACTGATGGCAGATCAAAATAGACCTATCATTATAAATATAATGCCCCAATTGCTTGCTTACTGTGAAAGGCAGAAAACAAATTTTTTTTTGATATCGCTATCAAAGTTCGGTTTTGAATAGGCCTTGTGAAGCCCCTTATTTATGTTGGTTGAACAAAACTGAGTTTTTTGTCGATCCAATAGATAATGTTTCTGCCCAACTTTCAGTTTAATTTCCTCTTTTTTTTTCAGAAGAGAACCTGAACCTTTGCCAACTACCACTTCTAAACCGTTCATTATCAAACCCGGAGATGAAAATTCAGAAGAAGCCAACCAAAGAGCGATTATTGCTTTGAAAAATGCTAAAGAGTACAGCATAGATGGCGAATCCAGCGAGAGACACGTGTTTGATAAGCTAGTCATCAAAGAGCCCGCCGAATTCAAAAATTTAACTTTCACAGAACACTTGCACAACATGCCTTACAATGAGACCGTCTTCACTAAAAAGATGGAAGAGTACTTTTACAAGGGTCTGCATTTGACCTTTTGCAGGAAAAGAGATGATAGTTTGATCATTGTGAGTACTTTTTTGAGCACAAATTTAGTTTATATGTTAAGTTTCAATCAATATATAT